GCTAGTTGGGAGGTTTAAAGACCAAAGTAGTAAAATCATCTAAACCACCATAAGTAGTTAAGGGATATTTTTTAAAAGTTGTAAAATATGAAACATTAAATGTGGGGTGGGAGATGCAGGACTGTTAGAATGCATTTGAACTTAAGAAATGAACAACCCCAAATAATCACATATACATATACAGATTTCTATACATAAACCTCATAGTAACCACAAACCAAAAACCTATAATAGATACACACTCAATAAAAGAGAAAGGAATCCAAAGATAACACTAATGATAGTTATCAGATCACAAAGGAAGAGAACAAAAGAAGAATAAAGGAGGAAAAAACAACCACAAAACAATCAGAAAACAATTAACAAAATGGCACTAAGTAGATAAATATTAATAATTACTTTGAAAGTTAATGGACTGAATGCTCCAATCAAAAATCCACTCCACATAGAGTCACTGAATGGATAAAAAAACAAGACCCATATATATGCTGTCTACAAAAGACTCACTTCAAAAATAAAGACACCTGCAAACTGAAAGTAGGGTGTTGGGAAAAGTTATTCCATGAAAATGAAAATGAAAAGAAAGATGAGGTAACAATATTTATATGAGACAAAATAGACTTTAAAACAAAGACTGTAATAAGAGACAAAAAAAAGACATTACATAATGATAAAAGGATCAATTCACGAAGATATAACAATTGTAAATATATATGCACTCAACATAGGAACAACTAAATACATAGAGCCAATATTAACAGACATAAAGAAAGAAATTGACAGTAACACAATAATAGTGGGAGACTTTAACATCCCACTTAAATCAATGAATAGATCATCCAGACAGAAAAATCTAAGAGTGGCCTTAAATGATGCATTATACCAAATGGACTTACTAGTCATATATAGAACATTCTATCCAAAAGCCGATGAATATACATTCTTTTCAAGTGTACATTGAACTATATTCAGGATAAATCTCATGCTAGACCACAAAGCAAGTTTCTATAAATTTAAGAAAACTGAAATGATTTTAAGCATCATTTCCGACCACAACACTTTGAGACTAGAAATTAATTACAAGAAAAAAACTGCAAAAACACAAACTCATGTAAGCTAAACAGTATGCTACTAAACAAAATTTAAAAATCAAAGAGGAAAAAATCAAAATTGAAATAAAAAAATATCAGAAGATTAATGGAAATGAAAAGACAAAGATCCAAAATTCTATGGGAAGCAGAAAAGGCAGTGCTAAGAGGGGACTTTAGAATGATACAAGCTTACCTCCAGAAACAAGAAAAATCTCAAATAAACAACATAACCTGATACCTAAAGGAAACAGAAAAAGAAGAACAAACAAAACACAAAGTCATCAGAAGGAAAAAAATTATAAAGATCAGAGAGGATATAAATTAAATGGAGACTAAAAATAAATAAATAAATAAAAAGATCAATGAAACCAAAAGCTTGTTCTTTGAAAAGATAAAGGATCATAAAAGATTACTAAGAAAAACTATATGCCAATAAAATGGACAACCAAGAAGAAATGGACAAATTCCTAGAAATGTACACTCTTCTGAGATTGTACCAAGAAGAAATAGAAAATACAAATAGACCAAATACCAGTAATGAAATTGAATCCATTAAAACAAACAAACAAACTACCAACAAACAAAAGTCCAGGACCAAACAGCTTCACAGGTGAATTCTAGCAAACATTTAGAGAAGAGTTAACATTTATCCTTCTCAAACTACTCCAAAAAATTGCAGAGGAAATAGTGCTTTCAAACTCATTCTACAAGACCAACATCACGCTGAAACCAAAGCCAAAGGTATCACACTAAAAAGAAAATTACAGGCCAATAGAACTGATGAACATAGATACAAAAATCATCAACATAATATTTACAAACCCAGTTCAACAATAGAGTAAAAGGATGATACAGCATGATCAAGTGGGATTTATCCCAAGTTTGTAAGGATGGTTCAATATTTGCAAATCCATCAATGTGATACACCACATAAAGTGAAGAATAAAAATTGTGATCATATCAATAGATGCAGAGAAAACTTTTCATAAAATTCAGCACTGATTTTTGATCAAAACTCTCAACAAACTAGGAATAGAGGGAACATACATCAACATAATAAAGACCCTATATACCCCACAGCTAACACTACATTCAATGGTGAAAAGCTGAAAGCATTTACTCTAAGATCTGAAATAAGACAAGGATGCCTACTCTCACCACTTTTATTTAACATAGCATTAGAAGCCATAGTCACAACAATCAGACAAGAAAAATGTTAGTAATTCAAATTGGAAGAAATAAATAGAACTGTCACTGTTTGTCCATGACATGATAAAATACATAGAAAATCCTAATGACACCACCAAAAAACTACAAAGAATTCTGTAAAGTTCCAAGATACAAAATCAATATACAGAAATCTATTATATTTCTATACAGTAACAGTGAATGATCATAAAGAGAAATAAAGAAAACAGTCCCATTTAAAACTGCATCAAAAAGAATAAAATACCAAGGAATAAATCTAACTAATGATGTAAAAAACCTGTACTCAGAAAACTATAAGATATTGATGAAAACGTTGAAGATGACACAAACAGGGACTTCCCTGGTGGCACAGTGGGTAAGATGCCACACTCCCAATGCAGGGGGCCTGGGTTCAATCCTTGGTCAGGTAACTAGATCTCACATGCATGCCACAACTAAGAGTTCTCATGCCACAACCAAGGAGCTCATGAAATGCAACTAAGGATCCCACCTACCACAATTAAGACCCAGTGCAACCAAATAAATAATAAATAAATAAAATATTTTTTAAAAAGATGACACAAACAGATAAAAAGATATATCATGTTCATAGATTGGAATAATTAATATTGTTAAAATGACATACTATCCAAGGCAACCTACAGATTCATTGCAATCTGTATCAAAATCCCCATGGCATGCATTTTTCACAGAACTAGAGCAAATGATCCTAAAATTTATATGGAACAACAAAAGACCTCTAATAGCCAAAGCAATCTTGAGAAAAAAGAACAAAGCTGGAGGTATCACACTCCCAATTTCAAACTATACTATGAAGCTACAGTAATCAAAACAGTATGTTACTGGCACAAAAACAGACACATAGATTAATGGAACAGAATAGAGAACCCAGAAATGAACCCACACTTATATGGCCAATTAACCTACAACAAAGGAAGCAAGAATATACAATGGGGAAAAGACAGCCTCTTCAATAAATGGGGTTGGGAAAACTGGACAGCTACAAGCAAAAGAATCAAACTGGACTACTCTTTCACACTATGCATAAAAATTAACTCAAAATAGATTAAAGAATTAAATGTAAGACCTGAAACCATAAAACTCTAGAAACATGCATTATGTTCTTTGGTTGTTATTTTTTTAATTAAAAAAAAAATTCAGGTAGTATGTTCTTTGACATTGGCCTTAGTAATACTTTTATTGGATATGTTTCCTCAGACAAGGGAAACAAAAGCAAAAACAAACAAATGGGATTCATCAAACTAAAAAGTTTTGTACAGCGAAGGAATCTATGAACAAAACAAAATGGTCACCTACTAAATGGGAGAAGATATTGCAAACAGTATATCTGATAATGGTTTAATATCCAAAAAAAATTAAAAACTCCTAGAACTCAACATCAAAAAAAAAAAAAACAAACATACAGCCCAACTAAAAAATGGGTAGAGGATCTGAACAGACATTTTTCCAAAGAAGACATACATTTGGTCAAAAGGCACATGAAAAGATGCTCAACATCATTAATCATAAGGGAAATGCAAATCAAAACCACAATGAAATATCACCTCACACCTGTCAGAATGGCTATTATCAAAAAGACAACAAATAACCAGTGCTGGTGAGGATGTAGAGAAAAGGGAACCCTGGTGCACTATTTGTGGGAATGTAAATAAGTGCAGCCACTATGGAATACATTAGGGAGGGTCCTCAAAAAATTAAAAATAGAAATACAATATTATCCAGCAGTACTACTCCTGGGTATTTATTCAAAGAAAATGAAAACACTAATTAGAAAAGATATATGCACCTCTATGTTTATTGCAGCATTATTTATAATAGCCAAGATATAGAAGCAGCCTAAATGCCCATCAGTAGAAGAATGAAGAAGATGTGGTCTATGTATACAATGGAATATTACTCAACCATATAAATAATGAAATCTTGCCATTTGCGACAACATGGATGGACCTAGAGGGTATTATGCTAAGTAAAATAAGTCAGACAAGGAAAGACAAATACTGTATGATTTCAATTATATATGGAATCTAAAAAACAAAACAATAAATAAACATAACAAAACAGAAGTAGAAATATAGAGAGAACAAATAGATGGTTGCCAGAGGGAGGTGGGCTGAGAAAGGAAAGAAATAGGTGAAAGAAAATAGAAGTACAAACTTCCAGTTGCAAAATAAATGAGTCACAGGTATGAAATACAGTGTGGGGAATATAGTCAATAATTATGTAATATCTTTGTATGGTGACAGATCTTAACTAGACTTATTATGGTGATTATTTTGAAATATATAGCAATATTGAATCACTATATTATGTAACTATAAGATAAATAAGTACAATGTGATAAATGTAATTAATACTGCTATATGTTATACATGGAAGTTGTTAAGAGGGTAAATCCTAAGTGTTCTCAGTACAAGAAAAAATACTTTTTTTTTCTATTTCTTTAATTTTTTATCTATATGAGATGATGGATGTTCATTAAACTTAAATTCCATGATGTATGTATGTCAAATCATTATGCTGTACACCTTAAGCTTATATAGTGCTGTATGTCAATTATCTCAATAAAACCGGAAGAAAAATTCAATTGACAAGAAACGTTGACTTTAATAAATAAAGCACCAATTGCCTTTTCTTTGCTACTGTCTCCCTTTCTTTATTCCCAAGTTTCAGTATACTTACCTGAATCACACCTCCCAAGAAGGAAACAGCTGCAGCAACACCAATCCTTTGCATCTCAAAGTCAGATAAGCCCAGCACACTTGTGTTACTCTGTGTGATAAGGTTCTGACTGTTCAGAGGGACAAGCCGTTCCACTGCATTAGCTGATATTAACGATGTCAAGGCAAAGGTGCCTAAAGCGGGTGGGGAGGGAATCTTCTGTTAGTAACAGACTCAATAAACATTATTGGATTCCACCATTAAAGTTGAATCCATGTTGTAAAACCAAAACAGATCTATTAGAAGCACTCTCCTCTGCACTCCCAATATTCTACCCCTCACTCCATGAAATAAACAGAAACTCACCTTTTTATATACACATTTCTTCCACATACAGCCATGCCATCTACTTGCTATTCCCTCCTAGGCCATACGTTTTCCTACCTCTCTGTAGACCTACATAGAGAATGTCCTCAAAACAGGAATTAAGATCATGGTGTGGATTTGAATCCAGCTCCTCCATTTATCACTATCACGATTTAGAGCACATTACTTTGAGTCTAAATCGCCTCATCCATAAAATGCGAGTAATAATGCCTATGTTTTAGAGTTTGAGGAGAATATAAATGAGATGATAAATATGAAGACCTCAATAGGCTCAGTGGAAAATATGACTCTTTGCTGAATCTGGGGCTCATTGACTGAAATTCTTGCTCCTCCAATCTACTTATGAAAACATCCTTGCTTTTCCTGGTCTGGCTCAAATTCCGTATTCAACATAGATCCATCCCAGATTCCCCAGTCCAGGTTAAATCTTTCTATTCCCTGTGCTCTCATAACAAAGTACACCTTTATTATAGTATAACAACATGCTGTGGCCCATAAAATGATGAAACATACCATTTCTGTCTACCGTAACTAGATAAGTTTCAAAGATACTTCCCAGGAATTGTCCTGACCTTACACAAATGCAGGACCATTTTCAGTGTGTTCCCCTCTTCCTGCCAAGAGTACTGATGCTCTTATCTTGGCACAGCATGTCTGAAAATGTAGCCACACCAGCAGGGAAATGCCATTTCCCAAAGAGACGTTTCAGCAATTTTGGATTAAAGAAACAAATTGCAGCATGATAAAAACATTCCCCCAACCCTTTACCTAAAGACCTTACTTTGCCCCAGGTCATAAATGACACTGTGTAAAAAAGGGCCTGTCACAAGGTGTAGACATCTCAACAAATGGCATGCAGCCTCATAGGGCAAGAGAGCCAAGTCAGACAGAAACAAAGTCTCAGTGGAAAGCTGACACAGAAAATCCTTTGGTTTTAGAGGATAATCGGGGCAGTATGTGCTGTGATTCAGAATAGTATGGTGATTGTAGCCTCCAATAAACCTAACCTTAAATCTCAGTACCGCCATCTCAATATCTTTATCTAAAGACAGAAAGCATTCCTCACCCAATGGGGTTGTGATGAGACTTAAATGAAATAATGTACTATACCACATATCACAATATATTGCATGTAGCTGACACCTAAAAAAGGTAATTCTTAATAAGATTAAAACCAGAATGCTCTGTTATAGTCTGTTATTCAATGTTCACTGAATTGAAGGTATATAAATACATAGAGCAAATTGAATAAAGTTCTCTTAGGGAGCTAAGTCATTCTCAATAAATCATCAATAAATACCAACTATCATGATCACTGTTCTCATCATAAAGTACTAAATTAAGAACACATCAAGGACCAAATATATATAATGATTAGAGACAAGATTCTGACATCAAGGATGGGCAATGCCAAATAAGGTATATTTGCCATAGGATCTGCCCTTGCCTTATTTTTTCAAGATATGCTACAACAGAATTTCTCAAAGTCTTATATTCCTGAAAGTAAAGAAGTGTGTATTTTGACCTTTAAATCTAGAACATAGAGCAAAATGATTTGTACAAAAGCCACTGAACAAATGACTAGAGAACTGAGAACAAAAATGATCTAAAGTTAATTTTTGAGTAGGCCTAGCTTTCCTAAGATTTGAAAGAAGATAAGAAGGAATTGAATGGTAAGAGAGAATAGCCATCAAAAATATTTTGTTGAGAAAAGAAAAGTGAGTCTCACCTGTGTGTGAGTCACATCCCAAGAACGTCTCTAGAGAGAGACATTGCCAGAAATGGATATGGGGTTACTTACTGTGTCAACATGGTTATGGGAGTATTGTCTCTTTTCAAAGGATGACACTTTGCTGTTTCTGAGATAGTTGAGAACAATCAAGGATGTTGAGGCTGCTGGGGACTATATGATGATGTTGTGAATGACATTTTACCTTCCCGATCTTATTGGTCTTTTTTTGTCTTTATCTCCTCCTTACTACTCCTCTGCTTTTTCCTTCAATTTCTCAACTTTTCATTCTGGTTAGGCTTTAAACCTACTAGTGGTACCCTTAAATACCACTAAACCCATCTAGTAGCTTAAGAGTGGGTGGCAAGACCTAATAGGAAGTGAATTGAGGCCTCAGAATTGGACAGGCCTGAGTTCAAATTCCTGGTCAAGGTACATAACCTCTCTCAGCTTGCTTATTTGTAAGATGATGATAAAATATCTAGATACAAAATCTGGGTAGAGATTAAGTGATATTTCATATATAAAAACATCTGTCACAATTCCTACCACATTTGGTAAATAATTGTTTGCTTATTTTCTTTTCTTCTACAGAGCATTCTATTGTCTCCCTAATCTTTTCTCTAAATTAATGAACATATTTTTCTTTTTAAAATTTTTTTCTCTAATTTAGAAGATAATTATATCCTACAAATTGTCACATTGTCACATTGGGTTATCTTCAACAATTTTGTTTCCACTGGATTGATACGCAAGTTTCTGTTCTTTTCCTTTTTAGTCTAAGATATGTTCTTTGCAAGTCACAAGAAGCAATCAATGATTTATTCCTTTTTAAAATATATATGTATTTTAAATTAAAATAAGAAAATTGTGCTGTTAAAAGTACAGCACATTTGGTGTCTTTGTATTCTAGCTTTTGAATTATTTGCTTTTAAAGATACCTCAAGCATTATTTATTATTGCATTTAGTAATTCATTATTGCATTCTGATTACCTGAGTTAGAGGGAAAATCCCAGATAATGTGATTTTTCTTTATGAAAGCAACATCAATCTCTTAATAGTAAAATGGAAGTAGGCATTCCCACACACATATATACACCAAAATAAAGTACAATAATATTATTTAAAAGAAAAATATGTTCTCTATACTAAATGTTTGCAGAAAATTTAGGTTGGCCCCTATAATTAAGATCATAGGAAGGTCAAAAATAATTAGTTTGTATATTTCTCCTGATATATATATTATATTTAATATTATTAAATTTGTTAAATACAGAGCCTTATACAAGTGGTAATGTGTATATATATAAATATAATACCATGAGGAAAAAGGATCATTTCTTCTTTACTGATTCTAAAGAAATCTAAATCTGTTGGGATAAAAAGAGAAATGAGGAAATCCAGCTGGATCCGTCTTTTGGAAAAGTGCTTATGCAGAAATAAAATGCCTTAAGCATTTATTGTGCTATACAGTATCTATAGTAAAGCCTGTAAATTATATGTATTTTGAAATGTATATTATTTACCTAGTAGACTACAAGATTCCTATAGCTGTTAATAATATTTGTTAAATCCAAAGTTTTATATAAATGGCAATTTCAAAACCATGTCACCAGTAAAATGTTTATGATTCCTTAGGAAATAAAGTGGTTTATGTAAATACATACTTAAGTAAATCAAGTTAAGTATTTTTGACTTCTTAAAGTAATTATGGTCTATTGGGATTTTTTTTTTTACCTTTTCTTTTATCCTTTGTTTATCAGCGGAGATGTTTTGAGTTCAGCTCTAAAAATAATCTGCTTTTTCTTGCTAATGACATATTTAAATGTTTTGAAGAATGAAAATAAATTTCCTAGGAAATTAGGGAGCAGGAAATTTTGAATATAATAGGCTTCAAGAACTTCTAATTCATTATTGTGCTTTTCTCCCTTTACATCAACACAAAAGGAAACTGCATTCTTGAGCAGCTGGTTGTAAAGAGGAAAATTTGGGCTTCAGATTTGACCACACCTGGGTTGTAATCCATGCACCTACAACTTAATCTGTGCTCTCACAGAAAACTTTATGAAATTAAGAGGTATTTTTAACCTAAATATGCAAATAATGATGTATATTTAAAATAATTATATTAAGATAAAATAGCACATGTAAAGCTCTTAATAAAGCATCTAATAAATAGTACACCTAAGGTTCTCAAATTTAAGTACATATATACACATACATGTGTAGATAGATGCGTTTTTTTAAAATAACTGGAGATTCTGTGAAAATGCTGATTCTGATTGAATAGATCTGAAATGGGAACAAGATTTTGCATTTCTAGCAAGATTCCACATAAAACTGATCCTTCTGGTTCGTGGACCATACTTTAGGTAGTAGTGTTGTAAATGTCTGATAATTGTTGATCCTATCCTCCATGACAAAGTTGATTATATAAGAAGCCAAATTTACATAAATAAGACATTATTTTATGGGTTAATTTCTGCATGAGAAAATACACATACCAATGTGGTAGGCAGAATTATGGCCTTCCAAATGCATCTGCATCCTGTAAATATCTTATGTTACATGTCAAAGGGTAATTAATGTTGCAGATGGAATTAAGGTTGCTAATAAACTGACCTTCAGATAAGGAGATTATCCTGGATTGTCCAGGTGTACCCAGGGTAATCACAAGGGTCCTTTAAACATGGAGGATGGAAGCAAAAGATCATAATCAGAAAGAGATTGATTTCCCTGCTGACTCTGAAAATGAAGCATTTGAGCCAAGAATTCAGGAAGTCTTTAGAAGCTGGAAAAGTTAAGAAAACCAAATTGTTCTCTAGAACCTCCAGAAAGAAATGCAGCTCTACTGACATCTCAATTTTAGCCCTGTGAGCCTCATTTCAAACTTCTGATCTCTAAAACTATGGGATAATAAATTTGTCTTGTAGGAAATAAAGTTTTCTTCAATAACACAAACGGACCACTGAAGAAATAGACACAAAATGGTATTACTTGCTTATAGACTGATATCTTGCATAAACAAAATGGATAAAAATGCCTCTATGGATATTTCCTCTTGAGTACTTTTATTATTATTACCATAATATTTAAGATTAAGGTATCATTTTTGTAGTGATAGCAGCTTTTATTAATTTTTATGTAGCAAGTAATAAATTAGACACTTGTACATCAATTATGTTATCAATATAATCATGATTTTTTTTGACATTTTACTATCAAGAAAGCAGCAAATAGACCTTTAAAACTTTGCCCAAGCTCATGCAGATAGCAAACACCAAATGTGACACACACCCAGGTCTATCTAACTTCCAAGCCTTTGTTTTATTCCAGGCTGCTCCGTTATCAGATTACTTGTTCACATTTTATTTGGTAATGAAATGCTAGGCAATGTAAGAGATATACTAATTAGAGGGCATTGTAGAACCTAGCTTGGAAGAAACTTAAAAGATTGTTTAATCTAAATATTAATTACATGGAAAATAGTTTTCAATATTTGAGTAACTAAATTTTATAGTCTTTTCCTCAGAGTGCGTATTTTCATTTCATTGTAAATTCAGAACATTTATCCTTCTCTTACTGTCTTTTTACAACTTAAAAATGAACAGAATCTTTAACAATAACCTTGGTTACATAGTAATATAGCAATAAATCACAGTATGTGTTGAGGCAGAGAAAGTTAAATGTCTTGCCCTAATATTTGATGATATTATTTGCTGATAATATTTGCCCTAATATTTTCAGTAGTAAAGTAAGAATTACATTGGAAATGTAATCAGTAACAAATGATCACTTTTGAGTCCGCTTCATTAGTAATATGAGAAGCATAAGCATAGTCAGAAATTATTACCTGTGGCAACATGACGTCCCATTCCAAATATGGCATAAACGATGGCAGGAAAAAGAGACCCATACAAACCAAACACGGGGTGCACAGATGAGAGAACAGCAAAGGCCAACCCTGTGAAGAAGAACCGGGTTAAATAGGACCATCTTATAACCCCAAGATACAGTCCATTACAAAGTAAAATCGATATTGGTTTATTTAATGATGAAAGGAATTATGATTTAACTATTCTACTTGCTCAGTGAAAGACTAGCATCATTGTCCTAAATAACAGAAAATTCACTAATTAGCTCATATTTACATTTCAATTCTAAAACCATTCTTTTTGGCCTACTACTTTTTACTTGATTATAGAGATGGCTACAAGAAGACATTAACTCAGAGTGTCTTCCTGGTAAAAGTGAGAATCATTTTCACATGTTCATTCTATTCACACAATAGCATCTGTGAGGTAGGCAAAACTAGTAACAATACCACTGACAAAGAAGAAGCCTGACATGAAAGGTAATTAAGGCTGGGGCAAAAACGGTGCACACATTCAAAGGTGCCTGTTTGGCTGGCTAGCTGGCTGGCCTAAGATTGTGTATCCCAGTGTTGGGCCAGTGTGTTAATCCATGAATGTCTCATAACTGGACCCCAGCCTGTATTCAGGTACAATTTCTTAGAGTGAAAAAAACTCAACTTTGCTTATTCAAAGAATAAGTAAGGTGTACCTTAAAACTGTTAATTTTTGTTCTCCTTAGATACTACTGCCTGCACAGTTTGTTTGTCACAGGCACATAGAAAATTTTCCTAGACATGTCTAAATTACCACTAGCTATTTAAACGTGACCAAAGTGTGCATGAGTATAAATTGATTAAAGTGATCTTGTTTGCCACTGATCCTTGGCATTAAACAGCTAGTTCTGAGGCAGGAGATAGATGGGCTCCAGGACAGAGATTTACAACTTGCCTGCCTGTTTACATTCCTTGGGGAGAGAAAAAGATGGGCTTCAGGCTGGACACTTACAACTAGCCTCCTGTTTATATTTCCTGAGACAGAAGATAGGTGGGCTCCAAGTTAGATATTTACAACCAGCCTCCTGTTTGCACTTTGAAATAGAAATAACAACAGAACAGGTTAAATAGCTAGGCTTTGTCTCCTGAGGACACTCTAAGATAACAGTCATGGCAGGAACAGAGAGGGTCTAAACCCTGTCTGAGTAAATATCAAGAGGTCATGCATTTCTCATCCTTGGGGCAAGGGAGATACTGCACATGCGCAGAAAGGCTCAAAAAGTAGGGGGCACCACCCCATAATATGTGACTCGAAGGCCACTCCTAGGCTGAAATCCATTTTGGAAAAAAGTTGGGCATGCATATTGGGAAGCGTCCTACGGCAGGTCAGGTGTGGAAGAAGAAACCAGATAATTGGCCAAAGGTAAACAAAGACCCTGAAGAACTGCCCTATATAAGTGACTTAACCACCTCTTTATCGCTTTCCTCATTAGGGAGGACGCCCACCCACTTTCTCTCTGGGTGTGTGTCTCTACCTTGCTTCTATCTTAACTAAACAATTTCTTTTATGTTCTATCCCACTTGTGCTATGTCTCTAATAATAAACTTTGTACCTGTTTTTACAGTTTTTGCTTCCATGAGAAATACATTTTTCACTGGGGGCGAGAGCCGAGGAAATATAACTTCTAGCCTCTAGCCCTTGATGGTCTGGTGGCTAAAGTTCCTGGTTTTCATCCAGGCTACCCAGGTTCAATTCCTGGGCAGGGAATTAAGCCACCACTCACTGCTGCCTCTCCAAGATCAGTTCAGCTAGGTTCTGATAATCCATTCAAGTTTACACAGTTTAATGATAGCCATTTGATTGAGCATAATGGACTTGACAAGCTACAAAAAGATTTGAGGAAGGAGCTGGCATTAGAACCTAGATTACCTGAACATTAGGCCAGTTAATTATTCACACTATGGAGCCTGGCAATCTGGTTCCCATATCAGTACTTTTTACTGTTTAACTTTTACTATTTTAAAGTTAAGTTTAATCTCTTTAAAATAAATAAACTCTAGTTTTACATCAAATATTTTGTTTCAAGAAGTACAAGATATTTCAGTTACAATTAAAATGCATGAAAGATCTACCAATAACCAGTCCCTTCTTCAGTGTTAAAAACCTGCTTGGGTTGCTTCTTTGCTGACAATGTATTACTAAAAGTCTGGTGAAGACAAATAAAAAGTTGTCATAGAAGAGTCAGTGGCAGAAGCTGCTCTAGAATTTCACACTGGCAGGATGAGAGGCAGCAATCTTGCTGTTGAGAAAGGTCGTGTGAAAGTGCAGGTCTCCAAGCCAGGTTAGCATTGTAAAGCTAAACTTTCCCCACCTCAATAACAAACACCTCCTCGCATTTATTATAGTGTAAGCAACTGTGTAAGAATATTGTGTGCATTAAATCAGTCATATGGAAAGCTAAAAAGCAACTTTTTCTCATCCATTTTCAGAATGAGTTACCTGATAAAAATTACCTATCAAGAGACAGAAATACAGAGTGCTTCCAAGTAAGAAAAAATGTTGCCCACATTTCAGATCACCCAGATCTACTAAATCAGTGATGGGGAGAAAGGGAAATATGCATGTGGCATATTTAACAAAAGCACCTTGGCTGAATTACATGGACACTAAATTCTGAGAGATGTGGTAAATACCAACAGAATCAAGTTTGCTGGAAGTACCCTATTTGGCTACATTTCTACCCCACCTGCAACAGCAAACGTAAATACAAAACTAGAAGCAGTCAGAATGGCCATCATCAAAAAATCTAGAAACAATAAATGCTGGAGAGGGTGTGGAGAAGAGGGAACACTCTTGCACTGCTGGTGGGAATGTGAATTGGTACAGCCACTATGGAGAACAGTATGGAGCTTCCTTAAAAAACTACAAATAGAACTACCATATGACCCAGCGATCCCACTACTGGGCATATACCCTGAGAAAACCATAATTCAAAAAGAGTCATGTACCAAAATGTTCATTGCAACTCTATTTACAATAGCCCGGAGATGGAAACTACCTAAGTGTCCATCATTGGATGAATGGATAAAGAAGATGTGACACATATATACAATGGAATATTACTCAGCTGTAAAAAGAAATGAAATTGAGCTATTTGTAATGAGGTGTATGGACCTAGAGTCTGTCATACAGAGTGAAGTAAGTCAGAAAGAGAAAGACAAATACCTTATGCTAACACATATATATAGAATTTAAGAAAAAAAATGTCATGAAGAACCTAGGGGTAAGACAAGAATAAAGACACAGACCTACTAGAGAATGGACTTGAGGATATGGGGAGGGGGAAGGGTAAGCTGTGACAAAGCGAGAGAGTGGCATGGACATATATACACTACCAAACGTAAAATAGATAGCTAGTGGGAAGCAGCCGCATAGCACAGGGAGATCAGCTTGGTGGTTTGTGACCACCTAGAGGGGTGGGATAGGGAGGGTGGGAGGGAGAAAGACTCAAGAGGGAAGAGATATGGGAACATATGTATATGTATTCACTTTGTTATAAAGCAGAAAATAACACACCATTGTAGAGCAATTATACTCCAATAAAGATGTAAAAAAAAAAAAAAAACTAGAAGCCGCTAGATTCTCTCCTCTTGCCTTGTGAATAGGTACTTTTTGTTTGTTTTATTACAAAACTCATCTCTCTCTCTCTGAACAGAGAGAGTTTCCCAAGTGAAATCTATAAAAAATTAGTTCAAAAACAGAATTTCTTTGGATCTCATATTCCTATCAAATTAAAATAGGAATAATCCTGGAAAACATTTCTAACTGCAATCTTTAAAAGATCTCTAGACCTATAAACACAAAATATCACCTCAGTAGATTTTACAAGAATGATCTCAAAGACCAGAAATCATGTAGACACTTCCTTAATCTCAAATGACACTGATACTGAGCTTTCACATTAAGCAATTGTTGTACACTCTCAGTGAGGATCTACTTCTCTGCTAATATGACAATGAACAATGGCCAAAATGAAGGAATGAACTAATTCAGAAATACAATGCTTTAAAATTTCAAGTATCCCTTCCATAGATAAAAACTAAAAAAAACCAAACCACCCTCCCTTACCCACCTCCAAAAAGGAGAGGAAACTGCATAAAGTTTTCTTTCTCTGATTCATTTATTATTCTGGTTTATACTGTAGCCAACATACATATTTTCATACAAGCTAAAATATGTTAAATCCTCCAAAAATAATGAAAATACTAACTAGTTAGTCACTTACAAATTAGTAGAATTATCTACACTTTTCTCCATGTTTAATAAAACAGGGTGTTCAATTCAATCAGAGCAGAATTAGAACTCTCTATTACTTTGGGGGGAAATTGCTGCAAATACTGATAGATATTTGTATTATTTAATCTCACTTAGATAAGAGCAAAAGCAACACAACAAACAAAAGTATAGGAGTAAAAACAAAATGGGGGGCTTCCCTGGTGGTGCAGTGGTTGGGAATCTGCCTGCCGATGCAGGGGACACGGATTCGAGCCCTGGTCTGGGAAGATCCCATATGCCGCGGAGCAACTAAGCCCGTGAGCCACGGCTACTGAGCCTGCGTGTCTGGAGCCTGTGCTCTGCAACGGGAGAGGCCACAACGGTGAGGGGCCCGCGCACAGCGATGAAGAGTGGCCCCCGCTTGCCGCAAATGGAGAGGGCCCTCACACAGAAACGAAGACCCAACACAGCCAAAAATAAATAAATAAATAAATAAACAAACAAACAAACAAATAAATAAATAAATAAATAGATTTATTTAAAAAATAAAAAAAGGGTATTAGGCCAAAGGGTGCCAAAAGGGGACAGAGGAGGAATGAGAGGAGAAAAGGAGAGAGAGACAGATTGATTGATTGATTGGAGGAGAAAACCCGTAATGAGATCTTTAGATAGCTGATTATTTTTAAAAATCAGAAATCATGTATTGGTAATGCAAGTCTGATATATCCATTAAAGAATGGTCACTAGAAGACTTTGAAAGATGCAATTTTTAAGAAAACATGTTTTATAGGTGTGATAACAGTTATTAAAGTAGAAGAAACTCCATATTCCCATGTCAATA